TGATCAAGAAACATAATTTATCGCTCTGATTAAAAGTCCCGAAATAAGCAACTCCTGTGAATAAGCAACCATAATAAATAAAAATAAGTTGTTTTTTATAAATATATCAACAATCGGTGATTCAATTCTAATGAAACCACTAACAAAATATTTGCCCATTGAGACGAATCCAACAAGCTATAGTACACTCTTTCTGGCCGAAAATAAGCAATCCCCTTCCAAAATTGATGACGTAGGTGTTATAAAGATAGGAATTTATTTATAAACTAAAAATACTGTTAATTCAATTTGAACATACAACCCAAAATCAACACACGCAAAATTATTATAAAAAATAAATACAAAAAGAAATAAAAGATACGTGTATATTAGCTGCTTTGATTTAAAAAAATATATAAAACAGAACCCACCACCATCATCGTTTTGTTTCTCCATTATAATAAAACTACCAGAAAAATTTCGCCCAAACAACAAAAATTATCAATGCGATAAGAACTATGATTATTAGAACGGTGATTATACGGTTTGTGGACATCCTAATAACTAACGAGGTTATTATAACAATATCTTTAAAAAAAACCAGACTAAATGACAGATAGAAATATTACGAAAGACTAACCGACGTGTCATGCCCTTAAGTGTGCGTTGAGCTTTGTCAATGTAAGAATCAGCCTCGAGTAACTAAAAAAAAATTATTGCATCTATTAAGTTTCCATCTTTATTATTGGAAGTGGATCCACGAAAAAGAAACATTAATGAATATAGATCGCATAACCGTACAGTATTCCTAGTATTGATAATCTGCTCTCTTTGTCGTCGAATATCTTCAAGAACATTTGCCCCAATTATTTCTAAAGATAAAAGTAAAAAAAAGCCATAAGGATTTTAAATTGCTTTTTAATATATAAATATTTATAAAGCTAAGTTATTACCAGTCTCTAATGCAATCCTATGACTATCCTGTAACCGTTGACTACTTTCTGCCAATCGTTCGGTACCAGTCAAAAGCCGAGCCCTTTGATCTGTTGAGGCACTATCGAGATCGGTGCCGCGAGCGCCGGATAATAATTCTTCACGATCTGTAGGTCCGCTAATACGTGAACTCGCATGTTTCTGTAGTGTTTTGAACAGAAAACCTCGAATTATTCACTTTCTTATGTTAAAATCAGCATGTCCATTACCATAGAACAAGAAAGTTCAAGCTAATGATGATACGATTCGTATTATTACCAGATCACGTTTTAATTTATCCAAGTTGCTTTGATAGGTTCTAATCCTTGGTTGAAGACGAAGACGTGCTGCGTTAGAAGAGTTCATGATTTCAACTTTCATTTGTGCTAACTATTAATTGAATCAAATCCAATTGAAAAAATATTAATCGTGAGATCAACGAATAATCATTTTTTAAACTAGTGATATTACAATTTCCGTTGCTTCATCGATTTCACGCTCTGCAGCACGAATAGTAGCTTTCCTTGGTTCTAAGGGATTAACATACAAAAATTATCATCATTTTCAACTTGTTTATTACAAAATTTATACAATAAATTTGAAACAGCATACCACCAGATTGTTGTGGAATCGTATTGATTTTGTCCGAAATAGCTAAAACCACCTGGTTATAGTCCTGTTCATAGGAGGTGAATAAATCTGTGCCGCCCGTTGTATCCATCTCAATATTTCTTTAGCTTTGACTTTGGCAAAAAATGGGTAAGAAAAGTCGAAATTTGAGACAAGGTTATTTTTATCAATCCCATCATTATCAAATTGGGAGGTAGAGTTTGTCACGTGAAAATTCTTGCTCCACGTTACTCTTATTAAAGCGGCTGAATTTTTTTTGTCCGATTTAACCCAGTTCCGGGAGTATTTTGTCTATTTCCGGAGCGACATGTATTTATGCGTTACTAGTTGCCTTGTTTAAAAGGTCTTAACAGTAGGCTTGCAGTTTGTGTTTATTTATGAAGCTAATTTAAAACTAATGGGAGAATGCAATTTTTATTGTTCTTTTCACACTGGTAATTAATTTCATATGTTCCTTAATGATCAAGGTTTCAGCCGTCCAATTCTTTTGTGGCGATTACAACTGATACACATATCTGCTCAAGGAGATTTCAGTTCTTTGAGCTGTGATAAAACGCAATTAACCGTCCATCTCAACTATTTGTGCTATTGCATCTTTTGCATATTATAAACTTTCAATAAATAAGTACGCCGAATGTAATCACAAAAGGGCTTAATACCGTAATTGGTTGAGACAGGCTGCAATCAAATTTTTTATATGTTTATTGTTTTATTGTTTAATAGAAATTTTACTTGCTATTCTGATTTCATTGACTGTGAATAATTAGCAGTATAGAACGATAGTTTTATCAAGAGAATCGAAAAATTACGCGTGTTCATAATATGGGTGTGATGTCTCCGACCAATAGATTATCCTCAAACATATTCAAAAAAAAATCGTCGAATAGGAACAATGCTCATTGTTGTTAAATTAAATTTGTGAGATAACTTTATTTTTAATTATAACAAAATAAAGAGTGTTAATAGCCATATGACTTCCACCACACCACACACTCAAGACCTTCCACCAGAAGGTGGTTTCCCGTCAATAAGATATAAACGTAATGTCCCGAAAAAAGGGCCTTCTGGATTAACTTTAGTTCTTGGTATTACCGCTATTTCTGCGTATGGGTTTTATAGGTATTTCCAAGGGAAAAATGAAAGATAGTAAGTGTGCACATTAATTAATTAAATAAAAATCTGCGTGCGAGCTAGTCTATTGTGTGGTGGTATTACATAAAGTGATAAGTTAAGTGGATATTTTTCTGTATGGACAAATCTATTTGTGACGCATACTAATACTTCATGCAAAAGATCCGACGAATTTTTCTCTTTCATGTTCCCGAACGATAATCTTATAATATAGTAAAATAATACAATGTAATAATTGATTTTAATCAACTTAGCGAGTTAGAACGCGAAAATATGTGGTCACGTATCCATCTAGTTCCGTTACTTCAAGCAGAACAAGATCGCGACACTTACCGAAGAGAACAGGCCGCAATAAAACGTGAGGCGGAGATCATGAAAGATGTGCCTGGGTGGAAACCAGGCGAAAAGGTGTACCATACGAAACGATATATTCCGACAAGTATCTGGGTTATTCCTGAAAAAGATTAATCTCCACAATATTAGTCACGAGACGTGTCAGTTTAATTCACGTGATAAGAAAGTTAACTCTATTCTATAATTAATTTAGATAATTTATTAGAATCATGTTTTATCTAAAGCAATTATTAACTAATTGATCTTATCGTTAATATTTTCTAATTCTGAATTATCATCATCATCATCATCAAATGTTGATACAAAATTCAATATCCGATGGGGAAAAAAATTTAAGCAGTAACTCTATCCGCAAAATGTTCAAATGCTCTGCTTATTCTATATCACAACAAAAATTTCACCTGAAATTAACAAGTATATAAATTAATTGAATGCCTCGCATTCGTTGTAACTTTAGCAAATAAAAAAAATAAGATTTATGTAAATCATTTACGATATGCATGACATTAGTACATTACAAATAAATCAGAAAAAGTCCAATGTCAATTTAAATTAATGTTTTGTACAAGCTTACTATTACACAATTACGTAAACACGAAAAACAAGTAAGAACGGATTTTCAACGAAATGTGAATTGCTGCGCTCTCGTAAGATGATGGTATATTAAAATAACCATCAATTTTCATTCTCCACCAGCTCAATGTCCTTTTGCTCAACAACTTTTTTTGATTTTTCTCGCTTTCTTAACTTTCTCGCATGCTTCTCTTCATCCTTATCTTCGCCTTCGTCAGACATAAACGATAACCCCTGTAACAAACCATTATACGATCCAATAGGAACATAACGTGGCTCGCCGGGGCCCTCCGATATAATATTTAGCTTTTCACTACCATCCGGTACTCGATTCGCGAAAACCACACGAATATACTTGTACAGATAGAGTTTCCGTTTTGCGGGTGAACAGAATTGCAGATGAATCGCGTAACGTAATACTGGTTTTGACGAGTGGGGTGATGATGATGATGATTCTTCCACTTCAAATGGTGATAATGATGATGGGACAGAATACGATTTTTGTCGTATAAACGTTTTGTACCCGGCCGGAATATCTGAGAAATCGTAGGGAACGAGGAAAAATTTTACGGCCGTTTTGTTTTGGTTTTTTATCACCATTTGTAGTTGGCCTTTTAATGGAAGGCGGTATCCACCGGGAAATCTTTTGAATCTTTCGCCTATTAACCCATTCTCCAAGTCGACATTTCCTACATACGGCGTTGGATTATCGTCGTCCTCCAAATTGTAAAAGTAGGCAGGAAATATCAAATTAGCATGTGGCGGACATTTTAATGAAGACTTACACTTTCCTCGTCCCAATACACCAATTTGTGCGATAAAAGTAATTGGTTTAGAGGGAGCAGTCGACATACGACCATTAAGTATAGATTCCTATTATTAGATCCTCAGTTTAGTATATAAATCATCCACACTTCTAGAATAAATGAAAGACGTAACTCTTTTTATTTACCTCATAACTTCCAACTAGACTCCCAAATAACTCGCTATTCTGACCACCCAGCGAACCTCTTCGCATTGATCTTAAACTAGGTGACATTGGTGGTGACGAAGCGATGGAAGCATAACTACTACCGGGCGTTCGGTTATTATACGCGTGATGTTGCTGTTGTTGGTACGGACTTGAAGAATGCGGGTGATATCGACTGGGAGGATAATATACATTCGCTCTCCTTGAATGATGATTATTGATGTTTATAGGAAGGGTTGTGCCTTCTGGCAAATTCGGCGAACTCGAATATGCCACTGGAATTGTCGGCATGATTGGGGAGGGCGCAACACTATTATTACTATACGAAGGTACGTTTGAGTCATAATCGAAACAAAATTTGATCCCAAATGAGAAATCACCTACCCTGTTCCTAAACCGAAAAATCCCAATGTTTGCTGGTGGTGATCCTTCTGAAAATTTGATTCTGGCGTACCACTATGACCTCTTATCCCTGACATTGCCATTGGCCTTGGGCCGTTGGCGCGATGAATTGATGATTCGGTTCGTGTTTATAAGGATGCTTTGCGTTGATTGATGAAAGTAAAAGGTGTGCTTTAGTATGCTAAGGGTAAAAACGATATTTTATTATTTAGAGGTTAAGTTTATTAGTAAGGTGGAGGTGATTTTGCAATTTTAGATAGATTTCACTTAGATGTAATGCATGTCTTGTATTGAATCTGGCTTTTCCCAGATGTATTGTATCTTTATGGTGTAGTGAAAGGAAAATGAGGCAAATTTCAAAAAAAGTATGTGAAAATTGAAAATAAAATACGCAAGAGAATTTTATAATCCTCCAAAGGATTAGAACAGTGGTGGTAGATGTTAATCTAGAAAACCCCACGTTAGTCATATTGATTAAATTGATGCATCTGATGTAATGATCGACCAGTTACATTATTGTATATAACATTTTTAGTGCATGGAAAATTCAAGATCCGATATTAGTTCTATTATCTTCATAATACAATTTTTCTATTTGTATAAAATCTATTCAAAATCAAAAATTCTGGCTAATTATAAATTAAGATTAATAAATAATATTATGTATGAATCTTGAATTTCTATGTGTATTCTTTCGGTCAAAAAAGTTCAACGGATCGATTTTAATAATTGTTCCGGTATTTGATGTATAGTCCTCGAAATTGTTCTAAGAATACTAACATTAATATTGTATGCGGACTATAAAAAAGCAGGAGCAGGTTAGAAAGATGTAAATAAAATTATGTCAGATTAGAATTTGCCTAATCACATACCCAATTCTTAGATAATGTGCGCCAAATCCTTTATATAATCCCATTATACCCTCTGCCCGAATAGTTTTAGCAAAACAGTCAAATGTATTTTTGTATAATCTGTCAATTTATCAAGAATATTGAATGAGTGAATTTATTCATCATTAGTCATTTACACAACATAAGAAAAAACATATAATCGTCAAAGATCAAACTTACGATCCTTTTCCCGATTCGTCCGCCTTCTGATTATACATACGCGTGCTAATCACATCAAACGGATTCATCGCAATACACACAAACACACCGGTAACCATGCTCGAAAATGAGTGAATCAGAATATCATTATCGCTCATTCCGGTTTTTTGTATCGCCCACCGTTTCACCAGGAAATAACTCGACAATTGAACCGATGAGCCAACCCCCGTTCGAAGCATTGAAGCATCAGCTCCACGATACAGGCCTGGCAGGCCACCTTCTCTCCATATTGAGGTTAACGCGTGAAATGTGTTTCGATAGCTGTGTTGATGACCGACGGCGAATTGTGGTGAATGTGCTTGCATGCGCGTTTTTACATGTGCTTGCATGCGTGTTTTTACGAGGTAGAGTGGTGAACCGATTGCGGCACCTACTATTCCTGATATACCGGCTGCTGCCATACTTATTGCCATTGAAGTGTTTGAAGCGTTGAATGTACTGGTTAATGAGTTACGTATGGGATCGTATAGGCCAAGGCGCAATCCGTTCATTACTAGTTGATACGCGTATGCAGGGCCTAAACAAAATAATAATCACCAAGTGAATCAAACTAAATTTACATCGCCAAATAAAAATACGTTGTAGAATAAAAGATCGGCGGTTACTGTAATAGTATTCAAAAAAAATTTACCTAAACCTTGCTGTATCCCGCGTAATCCCTCATATCTAGAAATTATATAGAATGCTTGAAATATATTTTTATATGGTTTCGGTGAATTCGCCGAAGCTCGTGCCAGTTCTCCTTCTCCTTGTAGTTGAAAACGTGTTTTAACCACCTATCAAATCAACAATATATGATTGTAAAAGAGTAAATATGTTTTACTCCCCCCAATTTTATTAATTTTTATCATTTTTTGCACACATTTTATTTGATTTATTCTCAGTTAAAGAATCTTCTATTTCTCCCGTTAACTAACCTCCCAAGGGTTTGTAAAAGTGACAGCAGCACAAGCAGCCGCACCACCTATTAAAAACCCGTGTATTGCACCTATCCGTTCTTTAGCTGCAGCAGTGCTAACAGTAGTGCTTGCAGTAGAGTTGGTTTTCGTTTTAGGTGGCGAAATGACAATTTTTGGGGTCTGTGACGTGGTGGTGTTATTTGTGGTTTGTGATGCGGTTCTACCCGTTACTGAAGTCATTTTGATTTAAGGAAAGCTGACGTAAAAAAATATTAGTTGGATTTGGATGAACAACGTGCAGAACTGACAGACTGCAGTGAAACCTTCTATATCTGAATATTGGGGCTTTCGCTTTTAATTATTTATAATGACGTATTTAGTCCCAAAATAAAAGATAGATATAAATGACACGCGCGTATAAGACTCGTGAGTACAATAATCAATTTCACAATGCCACTTAAAATATTAATTCTAGCTGCTGGCTACGGTACACGTCTTCAACGCGACATACTCGCTGATCCCACACAACAATTCAAAAATCTCCTCAACACGCCAAAACCACTTCTTCCTCTTGGACCAAACAACGATGCTCTTCTCACGTATTGGCTAAACATTTTTCGTGAAGCGAAAATCGAGATTGCCACTACAGTATACATTGTATCCAATGCGCTATACCATTCGCAATTTGTGTCTTGGGCTCAAGTACAAGGATTTCCGACGCAAAATATTGTCAGTGACGGAACCGAAACTAATGAAAAACGAGTTGGGGCTGTAGGTGATGTTGCCTTTGCCGTTGAACATTTTGGTTGGTTCAAAGACGCGTGGTCAAAAGAAGACATAGATTTGTGTATTATTGGTGGTGATACTCTTTTTCAAAAGAAAGGGTTTTCTTTTAAGAAATTGTGGCGCGTTTATGAGGAAAAGTGTAAAAAAAAGTACAAAGCGAGCTTAATTACCACTTATCGTGTGTCTGACGAAGAAGTTAGTAAATTTGGAATAATATCGCTTGAAGAGAGTGACATAAAGGAACAAAAAGATAAAGATGATGATGATGATGATCTGTTACTGAAAGTTCTCGAATTCCACGAAAAACCTCGACCCGAGAAAACAATTTCGCGTAATGCTTGCCCATGCTTTTACTTTTTTAGAAGAGAGATGGTCGGTCTGTTACGTGCATTCCTACAAGAATCTGAGCAGCGTGGGGATCCGCTGGATAAACGAGATGCAATTGGTAAAGTGTTAGCGTGGAGTATTAATGGCGAGTTAGAAACATTTTATGCGGTGCACGCGGAGGGAAGGATTGATGTTGGTGATTTGCAGGGGTATATTAAGGCAAGAAAGTATTTCGAAGAGATTGAGTTCTGATTGGATGATGGTTTTTTTTGTAAATTGGGATCACAGAATTCAAGAAATCCTTTTTTATATAAAATCTTCATCCATATATGAAAACGTTTGTACTTGAGGGTGTGTTCAGGTTTATACATTACCATTATGTGCTTATGAAAAGAGCACAAAAAAGTCCAAATACGCCCATACATGTGGATGGTATATAATTATTTTTCCGTTAAATTATATTATTTACGTGTACCGTTTTATACCTGTACACGGTTTTCATTATCTCTATGCTATAATTAATTTTGGCTGTTTGCAAAAAAAAGGCGTGTATGTAAGGAGTGCACGAAAAAAAAAGGTTCAACAAGAATATCCGATCCTACCATGTTTGGCTTTGTTCGTGGGAAACGCACTAGTTTTGTTGGGTTAATGATGTTTAATATATTATATAATTAATCAGCATCATCATTCAATGAAACTCTCAACGAAGTAGCTAAGCTAACTTTTAAAGTAATAACGTTTGGAATTAATTTTTGAAATTGGATTTTGGTTCTCAAGGATTTTATAGCTTTGCAGTACAAAAGTTATATTTCTTGTAGAAGAAATAGTTCCCTAAAACATGGAGGGGGCCAGAGTCCGGCGTATTGCTTTGGGACTTTTATTTTCAATATGTGTAATTACGATTCTGTTGGCGACTTTAGTTGAGAGCGCATGGTCACTGAACGAAATTGATGAAATTAACAGTAATGGTGCTATTACTACAGTACACAAACCTGGATATTGTGTTATGCGTGGAGAGTGTGGCCCAAAAACTATGTTCGGTAAAAGTTTGAATTGTCCGTTTAATGAACCGGCTGTAAAGGTGAGAGATTAGAGTTGTTCTCAATGTGAAGGAAAGAATAGAAAACGATCATAATCGAAAAGACCAAAAGAATGAAAAAACAAACAATTACAAATTTTTGTCGATTTATTTAACCGAAAAATAGAAATAATGTTTCGAAGAAGTATTCGATTATGTAATAATATTGAAATTAATACGGAGTTTGGCAGAAAAATAATTTTTCAATAATTGATCATTATATTTTCTTTTCTTTTTTCGGGGTTTCTTTATTTGTAAATCAGCCTGATACTGAATTACGCGAAAAACTTGTTTCGATATGCGGCGCAGAATTCAACTCGCTAACATGTTGTGACGCCGATCAACTTAACACGCTCTACGAAAGTACAAAACAAGCAGAGACACTAATAAGTTCATGTCCAGCATGTTGGAAGAATTTCCTAAAATTTTTCTGCACGTTTACTTGTTCACCGAATCAATCGACCTTCGTCAACGTCACATCAACCAGTATTTCGAAAACCGGTCAAGAGATTGTGACGAGCGTAGACTTTTTCGTGGGGGAGAATCAAGGCACTGGGTTCTATGACTCGTGTAAAGACATAAAATTCACAGCAACGAACGGATACGTGATGGATCTTATTGGCGGGGGTGCGAAAAATTATCACGATTTTTTTGTCTTTTTGGGTCAGGAGAGACCGCCGCTCGGGTCACCGTTTCAGATTAATTTTCCGCTAATAGATCCAACTGGGGAAATGACACCATTTGATGAACCGGCGAAACGATGTAATGATACAGATATTAATTACAGATGTTCATGCGTCGATTGTCAGCCTGTTTGTCCCATATTGGATCCAACCCCAAGCGAAAAGGCTGCTTGTCAAATTAGATCACTTAGTTGTTTATCATTTATCTTGATCCTTATCTATGTTTCAATAATTGCTTCTATTATTGGTGCGTATGCATTGAAACGACATAGAGATAATAGAGTGGATAGAACTGAGTACGAACCTTTGGCACTTAATGGGATTGAAAATGAACAAGCAAACAGACATAATAAAAGTTATTGGCTTAATGCAAATTTACAAGACTATTTCTATCAACTAGGATACATCTGCGCGAAGAATCCATGGAAAACTATAATGATATGCACATTAACTGTGTGTGTTGCGTCACTTGGTTGGTCACAGTTTGCCGTCGAAACGGATCCAGTAAGATTATGGGTCGCGCCGAATTCCGAATCAGCACAACAAAAAGAATTTTTTGACAAGAATTTCGGTCCATTCTATCGTACGCAGCAAATATTCATCACTAGTTCCGATCCTGATAATCAAAGTGTCGTCAATTATAAAACACTGAAAACTTTATTTATTATGGAACAAGAAATTCGTAATTTGAAATCCCCGAAAAATAATTACAAATTACAGGATCTTTGTTTTCATCCAAACGGAGATGCTTGTATTGTACAATCTCTCGCAGGATATTGGAACTCAGATATTGATGAGTTAGACGAGGATACATGGAAAGAACATTTGGAGAGTTGTGCTGCTCAGCCTATATTTTGTCTACCGGATTTCCAACAACCGTTGAAACCCGATATGATTTTAGGTGGATTTGAAGATGAAAATTATTTCGATGCGAAAGCAATGGTTATTACGCTTGTCCTGAATAATTATATCGAAGGGGAAAAAATAGCCAAGGCTCAAGAGTGGGAAGCCGCTCTTCGAGAATATTTGGATAAAATAATCAAAGGGGATAATAAACATATTGATGTATCGCAGTTAAAAATCAGTTTTTCGACCGAGGTAATTTTAAATATTTGCGAAAAGTTTTATCACACAATAAAAACTAATAGATATTTAATTAAATTCAGAGTTCCCTCGAAATAGAATTGAACAAATCGACAAACACAGATATATACACAATAGTTATCTCGTATATAGTCATGTTCTTTTACGCATCAATCGCATTAGGACACCTTACTGCACTTCCACGCACAATAATCGACTCTAAATTTTCACTAGGAATTGCCGGGATTCTTATAGTGTTAGCCTCTGTTTCGACATCAGTCGGAATTTTTTCCTTCTTGGGTATAAAAGTCACACTAATTATCGCCGAAGTGATTCCGTTTTTGGTACTCGCTGTAGGCGTCGACAACATCTTTATCTTAAATCATGAATTTGAACGACACCCTATGAAATCAATGGGCGGCAAATCTGTTGAAGAACGTGTCGCCAAAACATTAGGCAAAATGGGACCAAGTATATTACTTAGTGCGTTAAGTGAAACAATTGCGTTCGGTCTTGGGGGAATTGTCACAATGCCGGCTGTAAAGAATTTTGCTTTGTATGCAGCGTTGGCGGTGTGGGTGGATTTTTTGTTGCAGGTTACTGCGTTTGTGGCGTTTTTGGCATTGGATGCTAAAAGGCAAGAGGAAGATCGAATTGATTGTTTCTCGTGCGTTAAAATTAAAGATGCACCAAAACGAATTCATCGTGAGGGAGTTTTACAAAAATGGACGCGAAAGTATTATGCACCTGTTTTGCTGAATAAAAAAGTTAAAATTGCGGTGATTACAATTTTCCTCGGTGTTTTTATGTTCTCCTTGGGACTCGTGCCGAAAATTGAATTAGGCTTAGGTGAGATCCGATGTTTTTGTATTATTGCTCATCAAAAAACGCCTAAATTTAGAAATTTATTTGGATTTCAATTTGAATCGAATTTAATGAGAGCATTCAGAACTAACATTTTTTTTCTTGTTAAAAGATCAACGGATTGCCCTTCCAAGTGATTCATACTTGGTAGATTATTTCAATGCATTGGATGACTATTTCCGTGTAGGACCACCAGTCTATTTTGTCGCCACCGATGTAAATGTCACCACTCGTCCGGGACAACAGTCATTATGTGGTCGATTCAGTACCTGCTCAGCATTATCACTAGCAAATGTGCTAGAACAGGAACGAAAACGGCCTAAAGTATCATACATTGGAGAACCAACAGCTGTATGGATCGATGATTTCTTCCATTGGTTAAATCCAACACTTGATCAATGTTGTCGAATAAGGGAAAACAATGGCAAAACCGAAATATGTACACCACTAGACGATCCAGATGAATGCAAAGTGTGTTTTGAAGATAGAGATCCCAAATGGAATATTACAATGGATGGATTACCCGAAGACGAGGAATTTATTTCTTACCTGAAACTTTGGCTTCAGGCCTCGCCTGACGAGCTGTGTCCCTTGGCCGGAAAAGCAGCATACGGTGATGCCATTAAAATAGATCAAGAAAATGCAACAATCATCGCAAGTCATTTCCGCACTTTTCATACACCACTTAAGAGCCAACGAGATTACATTGCTGCTTATGATTCAGCACATCGTATCAGTAATATGATTCAATCACGTAATAATGGAATCAAAGTTTTCCCATACTCTATATTCTATATATTTTTCGAACAATACGCTCATATAATTAAATTAACAATGGAGACTTTAATTTTGGCGTTCTTTTCGATATTAATCGTGACCACTACATTGTTGGGAAGCTTCTGGACTGGACTATTGGTAATGCTTCATGTAGTGATGATTGTCGTGAATTTATTGGGTGCGATGGCGTTATGGAACGTATCTTTGAACGCGATTAGCCTCGTAAATTTGGTGATCTGTGTTGGAATCGGCGTGGAATTTTGTGTTCATATTGCACGCGCGTTTGTAATTGGTGGATCCGGGGACGATAGAGACGCACGTGCTGAACGAGCTATTGTTGACGTTGGCAGTTCAGTGTTTTCCGGAATCACATTGACAAAGTTCTTTGGAATTTTAGTGTTGGCGTTTACTCGAAGCAAAATCTTTGAAGTTTATTATTTCCGTATGTATGTTGCGATGGTGATTTCTGGCGCTTTGCATGGTTTAATATTGTTGCCGGTGGTCTTGAGTTTGATCGGTGGTGAAGGAATTGAAAATGATGGCGAGAATTTTGATTATAATTTGTTTGAGGATGATGATGCGGGTAATAGACCGAATAGACGTGGTGTTTTCGATAATAGATCAAGTGATGATAGTGATGAGGATGAGCCTGATGATGGATTGTCTCATCAGTAGCAGCAGATGAAAATAATTGAGATATGAATTGATTGAAAATGGGGGGTTTGTTTATTTTTTAGGGCATAGAATTTTAATAGAGCTCAATTTCCCGAGTTTCTCGGTTTTGTATTAGAGATTAGTCACATTTAGATTCAGCTATATTACTATTAATGTTATACTACACATACGATTAATTCTTATTACACTATACCACTAATCTTACTAATTGATTCGTGTGTGGTTTTGTAATCTGTAATATCACCATTATTTTTTATATAATCTAATTAAGTCAATTATACTGAATTTTTGAGCAAAGTTGTATATCGCGGAATAATAACATCTTTATGTTCCAAAAATACACAGGAAAAACATCACAGTGTAAGCACACTTTAAAAAATTACCGCAACCGATTGCGTGATTATAAGGAGGACTTGTGAGTAAAAAAAAGTTTTAATTTCAATGTTATTCAAAAATTTATTTAAATGCATGCATTGGAGGATTAAATGCGGAGGATTGACAATTTTTCAATTTTTCGTAATGATCGTAAAAAATGTGCCGTAGTATTTTGATTCATCCAAATCATGATTATTATTATTATTATTAAAAAACCAAGGTTATTAAGACTTATATGTTTGTTAAGAGCGAAAAAAAAAAAATAAAAATTTTCACGTGAGTCAGATTACTAGACCATTACTTAGAGAATAATGATAGCATACACTCAACTTCAACTCTCATGCTTCTCGGACCTTTGCGTCATAAATGCGCTGATATTTCTATAAAATTTAGTCTCTCAATAAAAAGCGGTGGTAAGAAATCAACAGCAGCAACATTTCTTATCCGTCGTAGTTCCTCCAAAAGTTCTCAATCTCCCAAAAAAGATGGTGCAAAATTATCATCAGTATCCTCATCAAATCTAATAAAATCACCACTGGATGATAATACTATCTCATTAGTTAACATCAACAATATCAACACGACCAAACTTGAAAACTCGACTAATGTAATAACACCAAAAACGCTGCTCGAAAGTCCACTAAAATACCGACGAAATGAACCCTGGTCTTCATTTGAGGAAAAAATTCTAGAAATTCTCGTGGAGAAACACAAAAAAAATTGGATATTAATTTCGAATATGCAGTTAGGGAGGACACCATACGATTGCAAACAAAAGTACAAGGAATTACAAGAACGTCGGAAGCAAAAAAAAGATGCCGTAAAAGTAGCTCGTTTCGGTATGTTTAGCTCTGCTGAGTCAGTGACTATGGAAAAGAAAAGAATGAAGGACTGGAGTATCGAAGAAATCGAACAATTAGATCGATTGATTTCAAATTATGGGCGAAGATGGAAAAAGATTCATAAAATGTTCACGAATAGGAGTTTACAAGCAATTCAAACAAAGGCAAGGAAAAGTATGAGAATGTTTCCTTCGATGCTACAAGATCCGTCGCGTCATGGAAAGCGATGGACCGAGCAAGAGATAGAAATGCTTAATAATCTTGTTGATCAATATGGTAATAATCCGGAGATTATAGCCGAAAATATTCCTGGGAGGTCAGTCTCTGCAGTTGCAGAGTTTATGAAGGACAATTATTATAAATTGCCTGTCGCAAGAGTATATCGCTCTTTGTTTCAATTGACGTCTCGTGTTCCATTTACAGATGAAGCCATTAGAGATCTTTTTGAAATAGTTAAAATTATCGGTTTCGATGCTAAAAAAATCTCTAGATATTTTTTTTGGCTATCAAAAGAACGATGTCAAGATATCCTGAATTTGAACGTAATGAAATTGTTTAAACGTTTGGACTATAGTAAATTTAAACAGCTCGCAAAAATTGATGAAGACTGGAAGGTATTGATTGTAAGATGGTTTGGCCCACGTTTTTCTAATCGCCAGGCGATAAATCTATTAAACAAAACTGAAACTTTTCTGTCTTGGACTACAAATGAAATTGAACTACTCGAATATCTTATAGGAAGGTATGGAACTAACTGGAATAAAATAGAAAAACATATGCCCTGGCGGAAATTCGACGATAATGCCAAATTTACGTCAACGAAACTATTAAAAGATTCGCCTGTAACTCACGAGGTTATAACTTGGACAGACTCGGAAAAGAAAAACATTCAAGTCTTTTTTGAAAATTATGGCGACAATTGGAATCAAATTCTAAAAGGATTTTGGTGGCGAAAACTATTCGATATTAAAGATTTTCTGTTGGGTCCTTTCGATTCATTAATTCATAATGATTCAAAGGAATTATTACGGTTAAAAGCAAGAAACTCATCTTGGACCGAAGAAGAAATAGAAAAACTACTTTCTTTAACTCGTCTTTATGGATTAGATTGGGAGGCAATTTCACAAAGCATGCGTCAAAGAACGCCAAATCAATGCCAATTATTTTATCTATGCCGAACACTTTCAATAAAAAACACGAAACCAGTCTGGACTAGGGCAGAATCTTTTCTATTATTGAGATTAGTAGATGAATATGGATTCAATTGGGGTATAATCAAGGAACATTTCATGCGAAAAACTGCTGAAAATTGTGCGCTGAAGTTCATTCAAATTCACAAGCGGAAATTTAACAAATTCATACAAGCACCAACATGGCCTAAAGGCACGATAGACAAAATCAATGAATTCGTAGAAAGGGAGGGAGATGTTGATTGGCAAGAAATTGGAAAACTAATCGGCAAGAAGGATATAGTTGTCCATGCGTATGTAGAAACACATCTGGTTAAGTTCCCAAAAATTGCTTATTACCTGCAGAAATACCCCGATATCCGGTCAAACATTAATGTTACAGCAAAGCCAAAAATTCCCGGGTTATTATTATGGCAACAACGGCACACTCGTAAGAAATGGACACCCGATGAAAGTACGTACTTTGAGAAGCTGCTTGATACTTATGGGAAAAATTGGGATTTGATCTGTCGGAAAATAACCAATCGTACTTACAGCTCATTGTGCAAAAAGTTAATTAAGGACCCTCGATTCCATAAATATCGAGGACCGTTACATAGACAGTCATCATGGTCGAATTTGGAAGTGCTAAAATTGTTTGCGTTAAGACGTCATAACGTGGACTATCGTTCTATTGCCATGTATTTACATAATAAGAGAACTCCCGGTGCATGTTATAAAAAGCTTTACAAGATGCAAAAGAAAATAGAAAAAGGAAATAAATTTGATTTAATATAGGATTAATTTATTTGTATATGTATTTTCAATTAGATCTATTATTCAAAAAAATTATATGAGTAATATCTCCCAAAGATTATTAAAGATAATTTTTTGATCGTAAAGTAATAAACTAATATTATTGATTGATATTTATTAACCAGATAAAAATCCATCATTGCATTCTTTGATTTCTGCAGCAATATTCGAGAGATCATATCAATCATTTCCCATTAATCTATACAGTATGGCAAAAATCAAAAAGAACAATCCACCAATAACGATAAAAGACACTCGTTTACTAATTAAAGCACTGGTGATTAATTTTACCAAAATGCTCATCGTTCATCGCTTTACTTCACCGGTTTCTGGGTCTTGCCAAGTTCTTGCTGGTCTATTGAATTAGAATCTCAATTAACAAAACTTCATATTCGATTTTTTCTTTTTAATTAAATATATGTTAACAAGTTACTTTATAATCTCCGACACGACAAATCGTTTCAATGCACTCAACGGTCGACACGCCTCAATTCTTACCACATCGCCTAACGAGCAATCTTCTTTCTCGTCATGTGCTAAAAAATTTTTGTGGCATGTAATTATCTAGGTTTTTAATATTGAGTTAATTATATCAAATAACAAGATATTTTACTTTAATGTTGTCCTTACGTACTTTATGTACTCTGGGATGCATTCTTTGTGAAGCAACGCGCACCTTTGCGGTTTTCCGCATTGCTGTGCCTACCACTACTCCTACTAAAGTTTGACGCATTGTATCTCGAAAAAATTTTGCTCAAAAAAAAAATTCATATCGATTAGAATGTGACATCACCCAATCAAACATCGACAACACATTCATTAATTCCAAATATTGATTGAATGATAGAATCGTTAATAAAAAAACGTAGAGAAAATGGTTATACCTTCGCTACCTCTTTCATTCCATTCTTGCTTACCTTCTGACCAAATACGTCAACACAAGAATCACTCGTGAACAATTTGCGTAAATTGAAAGAAAAAAAAATGCGCCTATCAATTTTTTCTGCCTGGAGCCTTTTACTATTAATCTCGGTTGACCTCATATGTACATCAAGTGCCTCGACGGATTATTACTCGATACTTGGCGTGTCTCGATCTGCGAGTACTAAAGAAATCAAAAAACGATATAAAGTATTAGCAAAGAAATATCACCCGGACAAAAATCCTGATGATAAGGAGGTGGAAGAAAAATTTGTTAAAATATCTCATGGTAAGTTTCGATATTCTGGTATATTTTGTTTAAAAACCAGTCTTTTTACCGGTTTGAATATCAAGAAAAGCATATCTCCAAAACTGTTTATTCTTGCTTCTTTCTCCCCTTTTTCCCATATTTCCGGAAATTCCTTTCATGAAAACATTATAACTAATGCTCTGGTTTAGTTTACTGGACTTGCCTGATTAAAAAAGAGAGCGGGAGCCTATAGTTCGATTAGTTTTTTAGAGGAAAAAAAATGTATAATATATTAATTTATAATCAACTAATTAAATATATGCTATTTACGACCAATTTTTTGTTCATAGCATATGAAATTTTAGTAGACGATGAAAAGCGCAGTATATATGATCGATACGGTGAAGAAGGGTTGAAGGGGGAAAAACAACATAATCCATTTGATATATTCGCGCAGTTCTTTGGCGGATCAGGACATTTTGGTAATTAAAACGATTCTGATAAATAATTCTTATAGAAATGATCATTAAAAAAATAATTAATTTAAAAATAAGGTCACCAAAAGACTGAACAAAAAGGGCCAAACATATCAATAGATCTGGAAGTGGATCTTAAAGAAATATATCTGGGCACGAAATTTGATATCGACGTGTCGAAACAAGTCATTTGTGAACATTGTGGTGGGTCGGGCGCAAAAAATGCAAATGACGTCGTTAAATGTAGCGCATGTGATGGTCGTGGCATGAAATATGTAAAACAGATTATGGGCGCGAATATATTTCAGATACAAACAACGTAAGAATTAAGAATCTTTGCTTCTTATTTTACTTGAAATTTCAATTTTAATTTACTTTGCTTCTTATTTTACTTGAAATTTCAATTTTAATTTATCTTTTAATAAATAAAGGTGTGATGTATGTGGTGGTAAAGGTAAAATCGTGAAAACAAAATGTCCACATTGTCAAGGGAAGAAAGTTCGAAGAGGAAGCGAACAATTGACGGTGAATATCGAAAAGGGAATGGCAGAAGGAGAAAGAATTGTAAGCATCTTTTTCATTCTGTTATTTTTGGCTCCACTTTTAAATTCTTATTCATCCATTTTTTAATGATTAAAAAAAAATCACAAATAAGATATATGAGAAAGAAGGAGATGAATCACCGGATATAATACCAGGAGATATAATACTCACTTTAAAAACAATACCACATCCAGTTTTTGTGCGGAAGGGAGATAACTTATATACTAAAGAAACCGTCACTTTGTTAGAGGTATTTAATTTTCTTCAAAAGAAAAATCATATGATTAAAAAATAACATAATCCAAATATAAAAAGGCATTAACAGGATTCGAAAAAAATATTACACATCTCGATGACCGAATTGTCACAATACGGCGTGATAAAGTGACACGTCCCGGGTTTGTCGAGGTGATTGCCGGAGAAGGAATGCCGCGGTACAAGTCAAAAAATCAACATGGAAATTTGTATGTCGAGTTTACAGTATTGTTTCCTACGTCTTTGGATGAGGAAGTTAAAATTGGTAATTGTTTTTTATTTTGTAATTCTTTTTAACATATTATTATTATGCTAATTATATTTTTGTTATATTTTAGGACTGAAAAAATTATTAACAATACAAGATACAGTGTCTGATCGAGATACGGGAAGACATCACGAACTATAATAAATAACAAACACTTGTAATAATTATGTAATGTTAATAATGATAATACAGTGGGTGAACAAAAGTTTACGTTTGAAATGATCAGCACGTCAACTTTCCAAAAGATTATCTGGGTTCAAATTGCAATTGTGTCCCCGAATATAGTGATAAATTAAAATTCGTTTATTTTTTAAAAAGCTGAAAATCCATCTCAAAAGTTTTAAAGGTTGTAAAAATTTTTTATTAAAAATCTCATGATTATTACAACTTTAAAAATGACTTAGTACCTAGTATATAATAAATCAAATACACAAATGAACCAATTACGAATATGAAAACTATTTCAAGGATAGTAACTTCTATATTAATATTATTTAATGCATTTACATTAATATTATTTAATGCATTTATACAATTTATACAAGTAACATTGTTATAGTAGATATTGAACATTTTTTAATATTTCACAAATAATACGGTCAAATCTCGTTATAGGGAATGCTAGTGAAAATTTTTCAAAAATTCACTTTATTGAGAGTTTATTAATAAATTCACTATATCGAGAAAAATTAGTTTTATAAAATAAAACTGATTCACGAGAGTTTTGCTATAAAAGAATTTGTTTATAAAACCAATTTATTTAATTGATTTATTATTTTTTTGTTATTGATGAAAAAAAATTTCAAAAGACAAACCGTTAATCTATAGAAAAACTCGTCCTATCTGATTCACAAGTTTTGTTAAAATAGAATTAGTTTTATAGAATAAAACCGATTCACAAGGGTTTTGTTAAAATAGAATTAATTTTATAGTAATAAAACCAATTCAAAAATTTCGAGAAAAAAATCTCAAAAGACAAGCCGTTAATTTATAGAAAAACTCGTCCCATCAGAAAATAAAACTGATTCACAAAAGTTTTGTTTTAAAGTGATAAAACCAATATGAAAAAAATATGTTTAAATTAGTTTTTATTAATAAAACCAATTTTTAAGAATTTTTTTGTTGATGTGAAAAAAAATCTTGAAGACAAGCTGTTCAATTTATAGAAAAATTTGCTATATAAAAAAAGTAAATGTAATACGAAAAATAAAACAAGTTTTTTTAATAAATCTATTTATAAATCTATTTATTTATCGTTATAGTTTTATTTTTTCTATATAACTTCCCATTTTTTTGTGTAATTTTTTAATTTTTACGTAATTCTTATTTTTTTTATTTATTGAAATTCTATTTTTAAAAATATTTTTAATTATTTTTTTTTCTATAGACAAATTTTTCTATAAATTCACCAGTTTTTCGTTCAGTATTTTTTCTCATCAATAAAAAAAATAATAATATTGGTTTTATTAATATAAAACTAATTCTTTATCATACAAAAACTCTTTCGAGTTGGTTTTATTAATATAAAACTAATTCTTTCTTATACAAAAACTCTTTCGAGTTGGTTTTTTATAAAACTAATTCTTTATCATACAAAAACTCTTTTGAGTTGGTTTTTTATAAAACTAATTCTTTATAATACAAAAACTCTTTTGAGTTGGTTTTTCATAAAACTAATTCTTTATTATACAAAAACTCTTTTGAGTTAGTTTTTTATTAAACTAATTCTTTATAATACAAAAACTCTTTCGAATTGATTTTTTAAAAAATAATAGCAAAAAGAATTATGATTTGTACTTCTGTTGGACGTCATATCGAACAAGAACAAGATATAATATCTAATTTAAATACGAAATCATATATTTTTATTTCAAATAATTCATTTAAAGATCTTTAACATCAAAGAATTTTATCAAAATCTGATAAAACTCATTTATCTACATGAGTTGTCGTGATGAAGATGGAAATATTTGTGGATATGAAAAAAAAGAATATATTGAATTTTTTTCTTGTAAATATCCAGGAATGAAAAATCACATTCATATATTAGATGAATGTAATTATTTTCATCGAAAAAAATTTGAAGATATAAAAATTCAAAAAAAATATATTAAAAATAAATAACTTCTAAAAAAAACAAAAAATAATAAAGCATATAAATTCAATAAATATATAGATAATAAAATAATAAAAGGAACATATAAATTTCCTATAAATAAAAATAAAAGTAGACTTTTTAAAAAATTAAATAATAAATTTATTAAGTATAGAACAGATTATGAGATATTTTATAATATAATAACAAGTTCTAGAAATAAAATAGATTCAAAAATAAAAATATATAATAATGAATATTTTGAAAAAAAAATAAATAATTCAAAAGAAAAAAAAGAATATATTTTAAAAAGTCCAATATTAGATTATACATCACAAAGTTCATCATTAAATTCTTAAATTTGGTATTTTTTTATTTTTAAAAAATACTAAATTTATTTTTAATTACATAAGAATAAAATGTATCGTATTTATATATATAATAATAGTTTCATAATTGAATATAATTCAAATTATAATTATTATTTGAATTTTTCAATTGAAAAAACAATCAATTTTATCATAAATAAATTTGATATAAATTTTATAAAAAATAATAATTTTTTAAGAGATTTTATAATTAATTCAATTAATGAAGATTTAATTATTATGATTTGAGAAAATGATGATTTTAATGGAATTTCTTATAGTAATAATTATAATGATTTTGAAGAATTTAAAAAAGAAAAATATGATAAAAAAATAGTTATTTTTTCTTGTTTAAATTATAATTACTAATTTGGTATTAAAATTAATACTAAATTAGATTTTAATTATTTAAAAATAAATAAAAATGAATTCTTATTCAAGAAATTATAATAATAATTATTAATATAATTGATATAATAAAAATAATTGAAATTATATAATTCAAAATAATTTTAATAATTATAATTTAAAAATAAATTTTATTGATATGACAGTTTGTAGTTATTTATTATCATTTTATAAAGAAAATTTAATTTTTTATATTGTAAAAAATAATGATAGAATTATAATTAAGTATCAATTTTTATATAATATTAATGAAAATATAAATATTGGTCATTATTCATTTATATATGAAGGTGTTATATATAAAATTGAATATAAATTTTATAAATAATAATTATTTTATTATAAATATTAATAATTTTTTTATATTAATTTAGTAAATTTTTTTTACTAAATTAATTTTTAATTACATAATAATAATTTATTTATTTTTTTTTAATTTTTAAATCATGAATTTTATGTAATGTGAAGAAGATAATATTTTAAATATCATTAAAGATTTTATTAATAATATTTTTAATCATATAATTTATTATTATTCATTAATTTATAATAATATTAAAATTATTTATAATCAAAATGATGAAATAAAATAACAAATTCAAGATTTAAATAATGAAATTCATGAATTTAAAAATAATTTCAAAAATATTAAAACTGATTTTAAATCAAGTCATTCTTATTTAAAAAGATTATTATCAGAATCTCATAAAGAAAATAAAAATAATGAAATTAATTATAATAATTTATTAAAATTAATAAATAGTTATTATAAAGAATCTCGTGAAGAATATAAAAATAATAAAATTTATTTCAATAATTTATTTAAATTGATGAGTATAACTAAATTTTCAGAAGATTCTGATGTTTTAGAAGATTTTAATGTTTCAGAAAATTCTGATATTTCAGAAGATTCTAATGTTTTAGAAAATTCTGATGTTTCAGAAGATTCTAATATTTCAGAAAATTTAAATATTTTAGAAAATAAATATAAATATTCATATATTTTACCAATAATTCTAGAAAGAAAAGAAGAAAATAAAGATTATTCACAAATTAAATTAGAAATTTTAAATAAATTAAATAAGAAAAAGAATTATAATTAAATTTAATTATTTATTTTTTGAATTTTTTTATTTATTTTTTTATATTATAATATTATTTTTTTATATATATTTCTTATTTTTTATTTTTTATTTTTTTTTATTTGAATAATAAATACATCTTTCTTATTTGATATTAATTTACTAAATAAGTTTTTAATTACGTAAAAATTAAATTATTATTATTATATTATTACTAAATTTTTTATTTTTATTTTTTTTATTATAGGATTAATATTATATATTCAAAAAAAAAATAGAAAGATTTATAAATTTAATATTAGTTTTGTAAATATTAATTTTGTAATTTGTATTATTTTTATAAAATTTATTAAAATAAAATTATTATTTTTTTCATTTGATATTTATTAAGTACTAAATGAAAATTTAATTATGTAAAATAAAAAATAAATTTTTGAATATTAAATATTAAAAAAATTAATAATTATCTCAATGACGAATTTACTAATTGTGAAATATTTATTGAAGGATATTATCTTTAATATTTTATTATTATAAGTCTTATAGTATTTTTAAATTATATAATAAATGAAATTAATTTATATCATGATCATATTATATTATGATATTTAATTGTAATTATATTAATATTTTGGTTATTATTTTTTATTATTTATTTTTCTTTTATTTTTATTATTTTATTTAATATTTAAAAATTAATTATTTTTTTTTGTTATTTAATAAATAATTATTTTTTTTTGTTAAACTTTAATTTTTTTTATAATCATTTGATATTTTTTTTTAATACTAAATAATATTTTATATACATAATATTAATAATAGTAATAATAAATAAAAAAAGTTTTAGTGATAGAGAAATTATCAGAAAATAAGAATGAAATAATGATATTAATAATAATTTTGATACTTTTAAAAAAGTAAAAATTGAAGATGATCAAAATAAAAAAATAATTAATAATAATATTACTATTAAAAAAGAAAAAAATAAAAATTATCAGAAAGAATAAAATAATAAATATAAAAGAAAAATTGGTAGAATTATTGATGAAGATATGAAAAATAATATAAATTTAAAATTTTTTAATTTACAAAATTATATTTATGAAGATATTATTAATTCATTATTATTAGATAAAAAAATAAAATATTTAGAAAGTAAAATTATGTTACATAAACTCAAGTATAAATATATATTAGATATATCTAGAAAATTTTTTCTTTCTTATGAAGATAATTATGAAGAATGTAATAATTGGCAAATTAATATTTTTTCTAAATATTATAATTCTTTAAATTATAAATTAGATAAAGTTAAATGAGAATATGATATTCTTATTAATTTT